TTAACCTGTACTCTCACAACTTCTAGGACAGAACTTAATTCAATTGCTAAATTAATAGCTAATAGAAGTTTGTTTGTTTGATCGATATCCAAAATTGATCTGGAATTTCTTTTGCCAAATAATAACGATATATAAAATAAAGTTTATATAAATTTTAGAAAATCAATAAAAAATATAGTATTTTGTTAATAAATGTTAGTTTCGATAATAATTAATTAACACTATAATGTACAACTAAATAAATCAATGTTTTCTTTAATGTACCATATATGTAATTATATCTTGAAAACTAATTTTTGAAGAATAAAATATCATAGTTTTTGATCTTTTCAAAAGTTATAAGACTTTAAAAATGTACTCTAACCACAAGTATGTTTCAGTAACAACTGCATCCACTGCATTTAACTATTAAACGCCTCAGGAAATTTGCGAACAATGGTTGTTGTTTTTTTGTATTTAATGGATACCAGAAGGTATCTTCTAGTCTCGAAACTGGAGGAAATGTAGCTCGCAACTTGTTTCTTTTTGTTCATCTGCCTTGCTATTTTTCCCACAATGCGCTTTGTGTGCACGTGGCGCGCCTTCGAGTGTCCATTGTCCTGGCAGCCGCCCACTTTCACCCACTTTCTCATCCGCCCACTCTCCACTTTCCCTCATCGCTTTTCTCTGGGGCCAATTGTCAACTGGCCAAGAACAACAAGCGAGTTGGCGAGAAGAATGGGCACGAGAGCAGGAACAACAATCAGTTAAGTTATCCTAAATAAACACATTTTCCAAGCACGCAGCGCCAGCATTTTCCACTTCCCACTCTCTCCCCTCTCCTCCTTCCCCCTCGGAAAACTGAAAGGAAAATTTGCTTTTGGTCTTTGCACTAAGCAAACTGTTGCGTCGTTGGCCAAGACCGAAAAACCAAGGCTAAGACGTTGTTGTCCAGGTTTCAAATTAAACTGGAAAGAAAAACAAATTAGGCAAACGCCGGACTCAAAGCATTCGTCTGATGTTTACCCACTGGGAAAATGGCAAAAAAATAAGGAAGGGAGTTGGATTTGGGGGCAAATTAAAAGATGTCCCCAGAATGGTAATTGCTAGAAAGCTCTCCGGACTTGCTACGTAATGGAATGAAGAAGGGCTTGACTTATGGCCTGGCATTTACATGGATATCAGACAAATTCCCACTCATTTTTCGCCACTAAAAGGGTGTTTCCATTTCTATTAGCCGCCCATCAATCATGGCTAGAGTTTTTTTCAACCTCGAACTTGGGACTTCATTTGAGTTCCTGCACAATAAATCGATCCATCGATCGTTAACTGCAATCAAAAGGTCTTTAAAGTTCTGAGTGTGAAGGAATGTGGCAGGTAGCCTAACGCTGGAATGCGATTACGAAGTGGCAGCGATTTTGTGTCATTTGCATATTTCATAAACACACTGGCTCATTGCGGCATTTTAGCCAAGTTATTGCAGTGCGTAAAGTGCAGTTATCTCTCGAATATTTATTATATACGCTAGCAGTACAGTGCGGTTCATGAGTATTTCTGAAATTACCCAAATATCCAATATCACATAATTTCTCATCAATTTAATTGGGTACTTTAAAACGAATAGTTGTGAAAATATTTGGCAAAAAAATGTTTCATTATGTATTTATTGCCAAATAAATGTTTAGCATTGGATTTCAATTGGTTGCAAAGCCATAAATTTTATTAGGTTTTTTTTAACAATTTTTCGTATATTAAAAAGATAATTTAAACTTTTAACAAATATAATCGATATGAACATTGCTTTATTGCTTTGAAACGCACTTTTTTATTGCATACTCCGGCTGTATATAGGTCATCATAACGCTTCAAGTTTGGTTGAAACGCTTGGAAAAACCTGGCAATGTGCAAAGCGTATGCAAATGAACATATCTGTGAACAGATATGAACGTATGAAACTCATATATAAAACACACACAGAGCTAAAACAAAAAAAATATGTATACACTTGAAACAAAAGTTTTTGGAGATGTGACCACTTTAAAATATGTTGAAAAACTTTTACAAAAGATGAAAGGTTTTAGTGGTGAAAACTTTAAGAGTCTTGCTTTCGTCTAACTTTGTTAAAAGTTGGCGTCATGGGAATATATGATTTATTTATTATAATTTTCAAGTTTAAAATCTGCATAGTTTAGATTGTAAGAACCATTTAGTCAATGGCAACAAATTTTAAAGTGGAAATTATTCCATTAATGACCTTTAAAAGTGTTTTAAATAACCAGAGTTTTCTTTTGGTAGTGTATATGTATGTGTATGCTTGGCTGTACATATATTAATATATGAGTAAATAGATAAACACCTTCTCTGCTGTATGACCCCTTCCCGGTGCCCGCCCATGCCCCTGCCCCCAATTCTACGTCCTTATATGCATTATAGATGCAAAAGGCCGACGGCGGCATAGTCTGTGAGGCCCACTGTCCCTTTGCCTTGTCCATCATCTGGACAGAGGGGGTGGTTCAGGGGCGGCTGAAAGGGGGGGCGAGGGAGGTGGTGCTCTCGCACAGCCCATTTCATTTTTAATAGTTTCAGTCGACGAACGTCGGCGGCGGCATTTCATTTGCCGTTTGTTTACTTTGCAAACTGGGTCTCGTCTCGCCTTCGCCGCCCCTCTTTTTTTACTCCCCGAGTTTTCCCCCGCCGCCTCTGTCTTACGCTTTCCGCAAATCAAACAGAAAACGCAGGGAAAATTTACAAAAAAAAAAATGCCAGCCAAACGAAAATGTATGAAATTTGCTTTTTTGTTTTGGTTTTTCGCTCGTTTTTTGTTTTCTTCTTCAACATTTATTGTTGATTTATGCGCTGCAGCGTTCACTTTAAAACCAGTCACGTTTTTGATGAACTTTACCTTTTTGGAAACAATTTTCTCTGGCTGGTAATAGGGCAGACCAATTAGCTTGCACATGGAAATCCCTAGTTCGGGACAAATTTTCCAGTTAAATATGAAAGAGCGGTGCGGAAAAGAACAGGTAAATACACAACGTCCAAGTAGAGTAGAACTTTTAAAGCACGAGATTTTCGATTGTAAATTTATAAACAAAAAAAATTATTTCCTTTAAGAAGGGAATATAGTAGTTAATATTATATTTAAATAAAGTCTTTTGGGTAACCCACTTTAAATATAACCATTTTTAAACTAGATAAATCCTGTTTAAATTTCGAATAAAATCCTAAAGTACTTTTTTTAATGTACGATAATGTACTGTATGTATGTGTGGAAGACTCACTGCGGTTTTGTTTACAGTTCGCTCAAGGCGTTAACCCAAAAATAAAAGGAAAACCTTTAAAAGAGTCAGCGAGAAAAAAAATGAAATAAATTGCGACGTCTGTCCGTAAACAAACCGTGGCGGCAAAGGTGACAAGTAGAGGAAAATGGTTAAAATTAAAAAAAGGAAAGAAACAATTTTAAGAAAAGCATCGGGCATCGCTACACCTTTAAAGCGAGTTGATAAGTTTGTACCGTCAACGTTATGTCAATTGAATGATGTCACACGAAGCGATGTGGCATAAAATAAACAAATGACAAGCGCCACACGTAGCGAAAACCAGACACACGAACACATACTGAGGTAGACAAAAGATTTTCTCAGTCTGTGGGAAAACTTAAGGAGCAGCGTAAGGGAATAAAATAGCAGCTAAGACACATAAATAAAGACTCAGGAATTAAATCAAGCGTATGGAATATCCGGCCGTCCAACAAAAAATACCAACACCCTTCTCTGCGCTTCTCATGCTTTCAAGCTAAGCATGAATCGAATGATTATTATTGAAAAGCTGCAGTGATCTTATTGGCTTTATCAGTATAATCTTTGGTAAAGATTTTTGTGATAGATTTGTAATTACTTTAATATTGTTTATTTAAGATCTTAGAAATGTAATAAATTAAGTTATGAAGTCGAATATTTATTTAGTCTGTATTAAATTCCAACTTAAAGCGCATACAAAGTATCTTTACAGACCTCGAAAGATTAAAAAGTGACACATTTGTCGCCTGCTGCATTTTGCATGTCTGCGTGCAAGTGTGTGCGTTAATCCATTCATATTTTATGTCCGTCGTATGCCATAAAATCAAAATAAAAACCGAGTTTCGTAGCCAAATCCAAAGCCAAAGATGGTGCCATGTAGTCATATATAGTCCATATAGCCGTATAGATATAGACCAGACCAGACCTCGGGCTTAAGCCAAGCATGCATATACGGTACATTTATATATAGTCATAGTCATAGTCATAGTCATAGTCTGGTGGCTGTAAAACAGGATTTGCATTGCATCCCGGACAGATTTGCATGCAGATGGCGATGGCGGCAGTAAGTTTGACATTGTTGCTCATTGCGACCAACGAGCTGCATCTAATGCAAATGCACAAATGCGATTTATGAGATATATGGGTGGAAAGGGGAAGGGGGAGGGGGGGGCTTAGTAGTCATATCCAGTGATATCCAAACATATAGCGCCTTGTTTTTGCCCTCACACTCGAACACGCATAACTCGTATGGCAAAGGAACCCCTCCGCCGCCATGTCATCCATCATTCGGCCTGTCTGTCAGTTGGCCCATTAACGCCCCGGGAACGGGATCCACGATCCGGGCCAGAATAACCTGGCCCACGGTCATGTGATATGGCTTAGTTCAACATTTGTCTTCTGCCGCCTGCCCCTCTCGCGGAAATTCAATGAAAAAATATTTGATTAATTGTCCCGAAATGGGAAATGTTTACCTAGTTCTTGGTTTCGTTTACCAATGGCTTACGCACTGAAAGGACTGGATTAACACTTGATAAACATTCGAACAGTCGAATTGAGGGCAGGGAAATACTGTGATTAGGGTTGTCACAAATGTAACACAACCACAAGGGCTTGTTACATTTAAAATTATTGGGAAATTAACAAATTGCTTGTGAAATCTAAATATCAAATTACTTTGGTTGACTACATTTTGACATTCTTCTTTTGCTTTTCTCTTTTCAGGGTCTATTTATTTTCTTGAGCCTGACAAATGTGAGTATTTTGGTTCATTTATCTAAAGATTTTTAATAATGTGCAAAAACCTTTTATATTCGAGCAATAATTTATGGTTAATACTTATATGCCTTTTATAATTTCAACGATTTAATATACATTTTCTTAATTTCATGTAGAATAGCTTAAGTGTATAGAAAGAAAAGCGCGAAGAAGAGCACTAATTTATAATACATTTTCCAAATTGCTTCTGCCGAAAGACTTTACAAAGCGACTCTGGAGAATAGCTTAGCTGAAAAGGATGAGAAGCGCAGAGAAGGGGCGTAGATGAGTGAGTCAACCCTAAGACGATAATCTCTGCGAGAAGCGCAGAGGACAGGCGATCATCGTCTGTAGTTTTAAAGCAGACTAACCGAAATGTTCCCTTACTTTCTGTGCCGTGCTCTCTCTTATCTGGCAAAGTATTCGATTTAAATATTTTATTGGTGAAAGCTTGCCTCTCGCTCTAGCTCTCGCTTTTGCTGGTCTGGTAGTTTTTGCAACCTTATTTTCGGGGTTACCTGCTACATCACTTCACCGCCCCCAGAGAGACTGTTGCATTATTCATTAGGGTTGGAGGAGAGCTGGGCGAAACAACATGGCCCTGGCCCGACTAACAACTTCCGGGTGGGGGAAATCGGGATGGGATGGTTGGGCAGCGGAAATTGCAAGCATGGCCAAATAATGACTCACACAGACAATTCTGGGTGGTATATATATATATCTTTTTTTTTCCTTTATTTTCTTTTTTTTGTATTTTTGGAGTGAGGTGGCCAAATCAGCGCACTTGTCAAACATGTTGATGGACACTTGAAAGGCGACGACGAAGAAGAATCGGAAATATAAAGAAGCAGCCAGTCGGTGAGGAAGAATAAACGCCACTAGCTAAATTGCTTTTAAAAATCCGCTTTCCCTGCTATTTTCTTACGGTTTTCTTTCCGCTTTCCTTTCACAAATGGAAATTCTTATGACGCCTTGTTAAATGCCTAAAAATAGTTTTTGACAGAGTGTGTGAGTCATAAAAGTGCCAGCGATATGAAATATGTTTAGTGTGCCTCCCTCCGTGGAAAAACATATTCATAATTGTCGGGGAGGCAAATCGAGCATACGCCATGTGTGCCGTTTGGGAGAGGTGGAGGACAGCAGTCAGCCGATTTGGCGCCGTCTACTGTCAACGCAGTCAAGTTCCATTTCCTCCTCCACTTTCAAGTGCTGTACATCCACTCAGTGTGGCACACATGCCGTACCATATCAATTCCTGGCCATATCTGGCGATATATATCGCTGGCTATGCACACAAATGATTTATTTATTTATTTGCTTATTGCCAAATGCCAAAATGACGCAGCTGCCACGATATCGTACTTCGTACCAGTGCCCACAATATTGAATCCCCATTTATATCCCCACCCACATGGATCTATTTTCCAATGGGGGCGAAATGTAGAATTGGATAAAAAAAACAATGTCTATATAAAAACTATGTAAAAGCCGACGTCAAAAGCAACATCAGTTTTCCCGCCAAGCAATTTGATTGAGCGGCGAATAGAACACATGTTTGATGGCTTTTCACGGGAGCTATTTTTTGGGGCTATTTTTTGGGGTTATAGGGCTTTTTTTAGCGGCGGCTAAAAGTGCACCAATCAATGGCACATGCAAGTTGATCACTTTCGTTTCGGTAAAGCAAGTTTTCATTTCACTATATTTTAATCAACCCAATGGACGGTAAATTTTAATTTGGAAACGATCTAGTCGGAATTGTAATACCCTTGCGGTCGAAATCCAGAAAAAAATCAACTAGATTTATGGTTTCGATTTTAAACAAGAATTAGAGGGTCGATATTGTTTCCATCACAAACTTTTCACCAAAATTATAAAACCTTTTGAAAGGGTATAAAAACAGCTTATTTTTTGTAACTCCACTGTGAATGTTGGGGATTTTACTGAGTCCAATAAAATTTAAATCTTCATGAATATTTAAGCACTTAATCGTGTGTAGTAAATCATTCCTTTCAGTTGAATAATCTACTCGGGGTCTTTACTAAAATTGGAAAATTATATTTAGTGGAATATGTAAGTACAGTATACGGATTATGTATACAGTATAAGGCTGATTAAGTATATTAATTAATTGTACAGGTTTAATCAAACCGAACTTTTTAACTTGATCACCTGCCATTTGCAATCATTTTCCTTTGAATCAATGGATTTGCAGTCAGTTGTAATTAAAATGCCATATCCGAGCAATACAGATTTATAGCTTTTGGCCAATGGTATATGCATTGGCACAATTGGATCCAAATGAGCCCCTTCCGACCGAAACCCCAGACAATTACTGAATCTCTATTTGACAGACTGAAGAATGAACTCGAAGTTCTGAGTTTTGGGAAATTGCCTCATTTCCCAGTGTTTGCCGGCAAAGTTTCCCTCTGCCCACCAAAACACCCTCTCCCTTTGCGATTGTCATTAATTACGAGCTCAGCCAGAAGCTCGCCAGTTTCGGTAGATCATTAGTCCACTTGCTAATGGCCCACAAAACAAAGGAAATTTTCTTTTCTCCCTGTCGATAGCTACCTCTCTCTCTCTCTCTTTTGCTTTCTCTCTCTTTGTCTTGTGCACTTAATTATGAAATTATGTCTTTTGTCATTTACTTGCTGTTTCCCGCAAAATGCGTTTTCACAGATTTTCTTGAACAAATTCATTTTGGTTCCTATTTGTATACTCGGCATTTGTAGAATACAAAGGTATATTGAATTTCTAATAAGGTTTGTTAAAAACAAATGGATTTTAAATGAACCTCATAACCCTTTGCTGTAGTAAATAATATTAATTTTTAATATACTTTTGTTAATCCATAATCTATGAAAAAACTACTAAATAAACTGTAATTTGTACCTAGAATTTGTGTTTAATGATTCTGATTTTTGTATAGTAAATACTTGATCAATTTCCAATACTAATAGTAATCCAATAAAACTCATTCATATAATCAACATATGTACCGGGTATTCAGATAGTCTCTCTTGCATTCCTGTTATTGATTCAGTTGCCAAAGTGTAGGGGTTTGTGGGATTGTAGGTGCGGTGGAGAATGGAAACACATGTTGCTAGCGGATGTTGTTTGAGTGGGGTGTATTTGGGGGGTTGTCTTGGGGTCTAGAATTCTTTGGGGAGGTGTGTGGGTGTTTGGGGGGTTTTCTAGAGCCCGTAGACTAAGTCCTCTGACTTTGGCGCAACAGCTGGTAACTGTAATTTGGCAACGCCAACTCCTACGCCCACACGCGTTACGCCCCATTCCGCCCCTTACCGCCCCATTCCCTCCTTCTAATTGCGTCTTTCGGTTTTCCGTTTCTACATCTTCAACTGCCAAATGAAATTTACATTTTTGACTTCATTTAACTTGGCAACTCTGGCTGAGTGGTGCTGCAGCATGCTTTTGTGTGTGGCATGCCGACATATGCCAATTGACTTGCCACTTGGTAATTTAATATGTGTGCTTTCAGCTTTTAGCTTTCGGCTCTCAGTGCTGGCAAAATCCCATCCATCCCCGCACCCATCGTTAATTTTCATCCCAATGTTTTGGCCCCGGGAGCTGCCAAGGACGCCAAAGCCATTGTTCATTCATTCTTGTCACAAAACTGGGCGGCGGATTGTTCAAAGGGAGGGGGGGGGCTGGGGTAAATCAAAGTGAACATTTCACTTGGCCAAGTCGGGAGCGCGGAGGAGCCATTGTCCGATGGCCTTATGCAACTTTAATTGAATTGCACGCTAAGCCGGAGGGCCAGGACATGGACATGGGCAAGGACATGGTCGTGCACTGCGACAAATTGGTCTCTGAAATGCGTAACTATAAAAAGTTATGAATCAGATAGAGATGAAATGAAATTACACCTTTAAAAGGACATTAAGTATTTAACTGAGGCCCTTGAGCCCTCCTCATAACTCTCACCAATGGATGGATTACCTATAGTGGCTTTAAAAAATAGATATGTATATATTGAGTCTCTTGTATAATATAATTTATTCCTCTTAAAGGAACAATTTAAGATTTCTGGATATGTAATATGATTTGCTAGCCCAAACAAAAGAAATATATTCTTCAAATCTTTGTCTTAGTTCCTACAGTTTTTAACTCTTTTCATTGTGACAGTGTTTTTGTGGCCATGTACTCCTTGGCCTATCAATAAATTGGCCTATCAATAAATTACATTTTAAGATGTCAGTGAAAGACAAACTTCAAACGTTTTCAAGCCCCCGACTTAAGATTTCTCGAAGTGTGGACTAGAAACAAGTTCGATTTGTTGACAGACCGAGGCGAAGAAATTTTCATTAGATTTATTGATTGCCCAAGTGTGGGCGAAATGGTAAATCGCCTCAAGTGGCAGAACATTTGGTCGAAAATTAAATTGCCCTGGCGTTTTGTGGGATTTTGAGGTTTTTCCCCCACATCCATTTATCCAAGCCCAGTTGTTTTTTTGCGGCTTGTGCGTTGGTGTTTTTGCCCATTTTGGTTGGCTGTAATTAGCATCCAAATAATGTCGTTATAATGCTGATCCATTAAATATGCATTGCTGACCATTTTGCTGCATTGGCCAGCGAATTGCACATTAGATGCCAATTAAATTCTGATTTATTGCCAAAACACAGACAGAAGTGTGAAAGGCAGAAGGTGGGGTGTTCAACAGTTTTGTCAACAGTTGTGTGGCCAATGCGGCGTATGCGTGATATGCAAACGGCTAATTATCGATTTTATTCGATTGACCTGATATAAAATGGTTCCGTCCGCAAATAGCAAATGGAAAATAGCAAAGTGCTTTCCTAGTTTGCCACTTCTGCGTTTCACTTCTCATCAATTGCAAAACTGTCACAGTTTGGCCAAAAAAGAGACACAATGAAGCACTTATTTTCAATTAAAATTCAAATTGGTCGTAAAAGCGCATAGATATAAATAGATAGGCATATAACAGTCGGATGGTTTGGTGGCTCATTGATTATTTCAGT